CTACAATCGAGACAAACTATGGAACTTTAGTTTAGAAACTTCTGGAAAATGGTCAAAGTTGTCTGACTTTTATGGTAAAGATGCAAAGTTGATGGTGTAATGCGAGCTACACACAATGCATGTGTCTCAGTTGTCTACCATTTTTGCTGAAGAGATGTCTCTCGTTATTACTGTTACCAATAAAATACTAACCACTTTAAAAGTAAAGATATTAGTTGGAGTTTTTAATAAATATTTCACTTGATGGCCTTCATGTTAAGTATTAAATTAATATTAGAAGTACGTAAACATTCATTTATGCCTTGTAAAATTTAGTAATAATATTAATTTCTTTAACTGTTGCAAAATCATCGCTTGCTGAAGTTTAAACCCTTCCTCATCGCTTCATTCAAAATGGCGGTGTTAAGAGTATCGCCATTTTTTTATGTCCCTGATATTTTTGGGCTGAATAGCTTAAAAATAACTCAACAAAATGATTCAAACATTCTTTTCCTTAAGCCTAGAATTATGTTTATTTCTCAATCCATAAACCACATAGCAGTACTATACTAATAGTAAATGTACCTAAAGATAGTTCATTTACTTTAAACTAGATGGCAGCACTCATCAAGCGTGTATGAAAAATAAGCACTTCTATGACCGCACTTTTTAAAATTATGTGGCCATTAAGGGATTAAAAACGTTACCGTCATTATAATGGAATATTGATTTCAAAGCTGAGGAAGTTAGAAAATTAAAGAAAGATAATTACAAGCTTATTGTAACTCTTAAAAATGCATATGAATTTTGTGAAATGAAATTTAGATGCATATGGATATATATTAGGAGATTGCGAAAATAAGCAGAATAGTATTTATTTTTCAAAAGAAAATAATGAAAAATAAATAAATATTTTCTATGAAAGTTAATTTTGTTTTTACTTTGTACTCTCTTTAATTATCTAAATCATGAAAATGTTATACTTTAAAACTAAAGTTTTTCGTACAAGAACAGAGCTCCATAAGAAAACTAGCATTTCTTGATTAATGCCTATTTAAATCGGCAAATCTAGCAATTAAATCAATTCGTATCAAAACTATTACTTTTTTATATTTACGGAAAAGCTAAATTACTTTTAAAAGTGAATACTACCTTTCAAATATATAAGTTTTTTTCAAAGCTACTAAAAAAATTTCTCAAATTCAAATGCCAATTTAAGTAATACCAATCAAAGACTTTGAAACCAGAAGATGAACAGTTAGAACATTTATTGTCATTGAACAGCTGTGTTTCAGATGGACATGAAGAACATTCCAATTTGTGTTATGGGATCCTAACCCAGGATCTGTCGAACACTGGAATATTTTTATGCCAGTACTAAGGTTGGTGGGGACCAAAATTCGTATTAAGCAGCCTGAACTAGAATTCAAACTTGACTCACCTCATTGAGAGGCATATGCTTTATCTGCGGAGCCATATGAAGAATTATGAAGGCTTTGAAACCAGAATATGAACAGTAAGAACCTTTTTTTCATTGAACAGTTGTGTTTCAGATGGACATGAAGAACATTCTAATTTGTGCTATGGGATCCTAACCCAGGATCTGTCGAACACAAGAAAATTTTCATGACAGTACTGAGGTTGTTGTGGAACCGGGGCCAAAATTTGTATTAAACAGCCTGAACTAAGATTCAAACATGGATCACCTCATTGAGAGGCGTATGCTTTATCTGATGAGCCACATGAAATTATGGAAAAATATAAATTGATTTGTAAAAAAAAATTCACATGTCTGAAATTTAATTTCTTTTTAGTTCTCTGTACAAATCAAAGTTTTCCGTTTTAAAATGGCTTTCCTTAAAATACTTTTGGTGTTTTAATGTCTGAGCCTTACATTTATTAAAGTTTGCCGAAAATTGCAATTATTTATTATGCAATTATACAGTTGCTATGTTTGCAATTAACATGCAGTTTTTATAATCAATAATTATAAATGAAATACATGTTTAATAATAAATAAGATTTTATAATAAATATTTTTTTTAATAAACAAGATTTAATAATAAGATCTAATAGATGGTGCTGAAAATAGAAGCCATCTTCTGTTGTCTTTAGAAATGATGATTCAGCCAAATTGATCGAATGATAAGTCCTTTATTTGGGGCCTGGATGGATAATACCAGATGTGTGTACTCTAGAAAAGCAAAAGAAACTAAACCTACTATCATCCACAGATGTTGATATGCAATCAATCATCTACCGCAGATTCTTTTTTCCTGTTTTGTTTCTTTATATCTTCTATTTGCAGAATTCCAGAACTCATTTCAATCATTGTTGTAGAAAATAACGTTAGTTTACGCAATTTATTTGAAATGCGTTATCCATCCATTGCCTGGAATTTTTTATTATATTGTTTTGACATTTCGTGCACTGGAATATTTTATAATATTTTTCAATTTTTATATTTAATGTTACTTGCGTATTATTTGTACTGAAATACAGCCAAGTGTTTTCAAAAAACATTTTAAGCTATGAAAGCAAAGATGAGTTGTTCCATTGCAAAAGAAGGACTATTAAAAATATAATATGAGATAATGTAAAAAAACATATATGTATATAAATATAGATTTTTAAGTTCATGAAAAATATTTTAATTGGACTATATTTCATACTTTTTGTACAGTTCAAGACAAATAATGTATAGAAATCAAGTTTTAAGAAAAATTGCCTTCAATGGATTATAATGTGATTTAATAGGTTGTGAGTTGTTTTCATTGTTTTCTAGTCATTTAAAATTTAAAAGTTTTAAGTTTAAATCAAATAATACAATATTATTTTCCCTTTAAAGCAGTTCTCCTAAGCCTCATATTTGTCGCTGAAAAACAAAATATGTAGAATAAGTGTTACATTTGAAGCTTCAATATTAAATCAGCTTTCATCGCATGAGACAGACATAAAATTCCATTGGTTAAAATATATTTATGACTCCAGACGTAAGAGCTTCTAGAAAAATGGAAAGAATCCAATATGAATAAATAATTTTATGGAGTATATATATATATATTCTTAATTGTATTCATGATTCGGGACAAGTGATGTAAATGAAATTGACTTTTAAACCAATTTAATGTGGAATGTTGAGAGCATTTTCGTAGGTTTTTTTTTCATATTAAAAATTTAAAAAGTTCAAATCAAATAGCAAAATTTTCTCCTTCAATAAATTCTGTCTTTATCACAAAATATTTCACTCTAAAACAATTCTGATTATTAGGTACTGAATTGCATGATAAAGGAAAAAAGTATAGCAATTAAATTTTGAGTATAAAGTTATCTTTTCTCGCATGTGGCAACAATACCAACACAGGATATCGCGCGTATGCCTCGCAAAAATTTTACGCTGTATAAAATTTTAGTGAATCTTAACAACAAAAATCGGGGCAAGTGCTTTACACCAAAGTGATACAGGGACGCAACATTGATAACTTCTATGTTTTCGGTGTTTCGCAACATCATGTTATTTTACACTACTTGAAATAAAGTATATGCCACCCTTTCACGTATTTAATAGCACAAAAATGTTTCGTTACTGTAAAGTATAATACGCATAGGAGTTAGTAAAGATATTTTTTTACGAGGCAATGTAAAGAAAAATTCATTAATTCAATATGAATCTACTCACTAATTTTCAGAATAAAATTCGTTTATAAATAATACATTATTATGAGGTATTCAAGGATATTATGAGGTATTCAAGCTAGCCTTACAATACAAAAATTAAAAGCGGATATTATACACAATAAAGTCCTTTAACACATTTCACAGGTATTAAAAAATTTAAATATAATTATTCTTATTACATATTTTAACGGGGAATTTTTGGTTCTTGAGAAGTATAGCAGCGTAGAAGACAGCATCAAACTTCACGCCAATTTGCGAAAAGTGTGCCAACATTGGTTACTTTTGGAAGCGAAAATAATTTAAGTGTTGTGTGAATGCACGTAGGAATAATGTAAGTTATTTTTTCGCTTTGAATGCTTTGATTTAAATTACGAACTTCTATACTTCTCATAATTTTTGAATCGTTCAACATCATATTCGAAAAAATAGTACACTACAGTTTTGACAAGGGATCATTTTAACACTTTCTCCTTCCAGGGAAGAAGATTACTAGAGAACCAACCATAAAGCTCAATGGTCACAGAATCAAAGTTTGTACTACTGTTAATTACCTTGGGTTCCGCCTTAATAACCAACTTTCTTGGCTACCTCATCCAGATGATGTTTATAACAAAATTCAGCACTTCTACAATAAATTGAATAGACTTACCGGAGTCGACTGGGGGGTAGGGCCACATATACGTAAATATGTTTACTTAACAACAGCTCTCGAAATTATAACTTATGGCTCTGAGATCTGGTTCAATGAACAGGTCCGCACCATCAACAGGCTTAAAAATATCGAGAGGATCCCATTGTTGAATATAACGAGGGCGTACAGGACATCATCGACGGCGGCTCTGAAGGTCCTTGCCGGTACTGTTCCGTTGGACCTTGTTGCATCCTCTGAAGCGGTTATTAATAACAGTTATATCCATGGGGAGGTCCCCATTAATAGACAAATCATTCACTTGACCCACTCAGCCGAATTCTTAAGTATTCCGTTTTCCTTCAGTCCTCCAACGGGGACACATCTTGAAATCTTTACCGATGGCTCAAGACTCATTCATGATGGGGAATTCAGAGTGGGTTGCGCCTTTGTGGTATTCCTGGATGGCGCATTTCTCGAAAGCTATAACCTTAGACCCAACAATCAGTCGACTGTTTATAGTGCTGAACTGTGGGCCATCATCCAGGCAACTTTCTGGATTAAAAATAATAATCTCAACTATGATGTTGAAATATTCTCAGACTCAATGTCCGGTCTCCAGTCCCTTGAAAAAACTAAAGATAATGATTATATCACAAGGATGACTAAAAATAATTACTCTTATAATTAGAAATTTCAAAGGATTAGGGCGCATATGGGACAGGCGGGAAATGAGGAGGCCGATAAATTTGCGAAAATGGCATGCGCCAACACCAATATTGATATTGTCGACTTTTGTTCCAAGAGATCAGTCCGTTTGGCCTTGCAAAATGAAAATTTAGCTAAGTGGCAGACTAGATGGGATGACCCCGACTATCAGGGAAGACACTTATATGAGCTTCTCCCTAAGGTTTGTTACAAGATCTTCTTTTCTAACTTTTTTGTTAATCAATTCATTACAAATCACGGAACACAGGGTGAATATCACAGTAGATTTCATGGAAAAAATCCTCTTTGTCCTACCTGTGGTGTTCCGGATGACCTCCGCAACATTCGCATCGACTGTGGTAATTTTGCAAATATTAAGGACACATACTTTCCGAAAAACATAACTTTCACTAGTTTAAAAAAACCCTGGAGAATCCCAACGATTTCCTACGGCATAGAGGAAATTATCAAATCACATTACAACTCTAACACCCCAAATTGGGCTTAGCTCATACTAATACTTTCGTTTTTGGGATACCTACCGACTTTCGTAATTTATTTCTATCCTGTGTTTTTGTGTGATATTTATTGTGTCTTCTTTATGTCTGTTCTTCTTTATCTTTAAGACTTCCAATTTAATTTTGTTTTGTAATGTAACCAGATTGTTATATTTGTAATTTCCTAAACACCGCTGATTTGCGATGATTTGTAGTGTTACAGGTGATCTATTGTTCTGTTGATTTAGTCTGCTTTTGCTAAATACTTTTCATGTTATTGAAAATTTTAGATAATAGAGATATAGTACCTTTTAGGAATATGGAGATATTGTACCTTAAAATGGAGATACACTCTTTAAATGTTTCAACAATTTTGTTCAGTATGTCATCTGTACTTCTGTAAATTTTGAATTGTACCGTGTCTTCTTCTTGGTTTCCAGTCACTATTTAACTTATGGTGTTCTGTATTGTTCTTGGTCGTCTTTTCATCTGTTGTCTGTCTTTTATATGCTTCCCTTTTGGAAAATTTTTAAACTTGCTCTGTAGATGGTCATCTATTCATCTGTAAATTTCAGCCTTCACCCTCTTTTTGTATGTTACCGTTGCATTGTAATCAGCTCTGTAAATGGTGAACTTCTGATTACGGAGATCTTGCACTCTTTGTTTAGCGGATATTTAAAGGGGCTTTGTTAAATGAGTCATCTGCACACGTTTGACAATTGATATTTTGTAAGCACCCAAATGGAGATTCAATACCTTCGTGATCTGTGGACTTTTCAACAAAATTGTTTAGTGTGCCATCTGTACATCTGTAAATTTTGAATTGTACCATGTCTTCTTTACATCTGAGGTATCTCAGTCACCATCTAACTTATGGTGCTCTGTACTGTTCAAGGTCGTCTTTTCATGTGTAGTTTTGTCTTTTATATGCTTCCCCTTTCGAACATTTTGGACCTGCTCTGTAAATGGTCATCTATTCATCTGTAAATCTCAGTCTTTACACCTTTTGTATGTTTACGTTAAATTGTTGTTGACTCTGTAAATTGTAAACTTCTGATTTTGGAGATTTTGCACTTTTTGTTTAGTGGATTTTTAAAAGTGTTTTGCAAAATGGGTCATCTCTACATGTCTGACAATGAATATATTGTACTTCCTATATATCTGTGAAATTTTGAGCGGCGCTTGTTGAAAGTGTCATCTGTTAATTTGAAAATCTTTTGGCACACTCTAAACACTTTTATTACTTTCATTACCTTCTAGTCTACTTCTTTTCATGAATGAACCGTATTGTGTCTTCTATACATCTGTGGGCTTATGGTTTATGTCTAACCAATGGGTTTGTTTTGTACTGTCTCTGTGACATTGTGTCACTTAATCACAATTTTCTAATAAAATGGTGACCTAAAAGTTAGGCCGACCCCTGACCCCTCATCTCTGACGCCTTACTGTCTGTCGACCTTCACGGTGTTGACCTTCGGCAGCCTTTGATGTGAGCACATGGAAGATGGTCCGATATGGTCACAGTTAGTTCATAATTGTGATTTTATTTAAGCGGTTCATCAATTTACTTCGGTTGCCCTTTTAGCCACGATTCTGCTGCGTTTTATGTACTTTAACTTCAATCTTCAACCTGATTATATAAATACCGTCCATTTTTGGAGCAGGTGGCATTCGAAAATATAACAAAAAAAAACACCACACTACGATCCTTAACAGGGATTTTTCTTTTTCACCCCCTCCTCTCTTTGAGAAACGGAGTTTTAAATTTATCATGGCGTTCTTTTTCCGCCATTGCAACGATCTCAACATGCTGCAAGAATGATTTTTTTCGTGCTGAGGAATCTTTCAACAACTCAAGTTTGATCATGTCGTTTCTAATGGAAGTTCTCTCAGATTTATGATTTTGGAATGAGCAAATTTCATTGCTCCTCAACTTAAACATGCCAAGTTCCTGTCCTTTTTTGAAGTTTGTCATTTTGTATGACAACGCTCGCCATCCATCGCCCCAGCCTGTCTATTTCATTTTTACCAATTTAGGCCGTCTCCAGATCCTCTACCTGTCACCATCATGAAAAACTAGTGGATAGCCATATGCCTACTGAATGCTGACCTGGGTGTTTTAGAATGTTCATCTATGTTTTCTTGTGTCTATGTTAAGAATGGAACTCTCTGATACTCATCAAAAATAAAGAAAATATTTTAGTGAACTTCAAAGTGTTGTTTATGACTACTAGAGACTCTGTGCAAAAATTGGATTTCTTTTTCCTTTTAGAAGTACCTCTATTTTATTGTGATTGTGCTCGNTACCGTCCATTTTTGGAGCAGGTGGCATTCGAAAATATAACAAAAATAAAACACCACACTACGATCCCTTAACAGGGATTTTTCTTTTTCACCCCCTCCTCTCTTTGAGAGACGGAGTTTTAATTTTATCATGGCGTTCTTTTTCCGCCATTGCAACTATCTCAACATGCTGCAAGCATGATTTTTTTCGCGCTGAGGAATCTTTCAACAACTCAAGTTTGATCATTTCGTTTCTAATGGAAATTCTCTCAGATTTATGATTTTGGAATGAGCAACTTTCATTGCTCCTCAACTTAAACATGCCAAGTTCCTGTCCTTTTTTGAAGTTTGTCATTTTGTATGACAACGTTCGCCATCCATCGCCCCAGTCTGTCTATTTCATTTTTACCAATTTGGGCCGTCCTCTACCTGTCCTGTCCTCTACCTGTCACCATCATGAAAAACTAGTGGATAACCATATGCCTACTGAATGCTGACCTGGGTGTTTTAGAATGTTCATCTATGTTTTCTTGTGTCTATGTTAAGAATGGAACTCTCTGATACTCATCAGAAATAAAGAAAATCTTTTAGTGAACTTCAAAGTGCTGTTTATGACTACTAGAGACTCTGTGCAAAAATTGGATTTCTTTTTCCTTTTAGAAGTACCTCTATTTTATTGTGATTGTGCTCGCCCACAGGTATGTTTTCTTATCACTGTAGTTTTTCATGTCATATTGAAAATGTAGTTTTTTAATTACTAGGCTCTCATCGCGGCACTTTCATGTTGGCCACTATAACGAAAAATCATGAGCCATCATTAATTTTTTAAAGACCATATAGATTTGTTCAGCCATTATCTCTCTTTAATTTTATTATCATTAGTCTTTATTTTTTATATAATAACACCAACCCAACACAACAGTCTCGTCTTTTCATCTGTTTACTGAATTTGTTTAATTACGTTTTTTGTGCTCTCCATACCAAAATTTTCAAGCCTGCTCTGTAATTTGACGTCTGTTCATCTGTAAATTTCAACCTTCACCCCTTTTTGAGTGTTCACGTTGAATTGCTGTCAACTTTGTAAATTGTAAATTTTCTTTTGAAATTCAATAAATCTTTATGGACCTTTTGGCGGGGGATGGGCCGGTAGATCACAGCTCTGCCTGCGCGTGCAGCACTGGGACTGGTAACTGAATAAATTATTTGGTTTTCATTCTCTTTCGGCCCTCTTCACCCGTGACACACTCAACCTCCAAATCACAGGCCCCCTTCGGCCAGTGTTGCCATTCTTGTTGACAAGCCAAACATCAAGTATCCCACTTTTCTACTGAGTTGAAACGAAAGCCCAACGAGTCCCCAGTATTCCCTGGATGCCCCCTATGGGGGCGGGTCAGGGTTAAGCCTAGCTTAACACCTTCTCCTTTGTACCCGTATTGTTTTGAGCCCGGATTGTCCGCGTCACATGACTATGCATCATTGTAATTAAATGCATCGCTACTGACACGCCTCTTTGAATTCGGCGATAAGTTTTGCATTTTTGAATATTACTGAGACACACTTTCTTCACAATTTTCGTAGTGATATTTCCCGCCTTGAATTGAAATCCAAATCATTTTGCACTTTCTGTAATTTCGCTTTCATTAGTGTTACCGTTGCATGTCAAAATAGTTATGATAAATTTGTGATAAATGTGTTTTTTACGCTCTGATGCCCAAGACTGATTGTAAAGCTGTTTCAATTGTAAAGTTGGAAAACTATTTCCCAATATATTTTTTACCAAGTTTCAATCATCATTTTATGCAGTTTTTTTTATCTTAAACACCTTAAAACAATAGAATTAAGAAATATGTTATCGCAGTTTATTTTTTTAAGATAAAATTTAGGGGCATTTTAGAGAAAACTAGAGATCAGTGGACGGAACATCATATATTTCACCACAAATGGGTTAAACAAAAAACCATTTGCGAACAAGCATATTTTGCATTTTTAAATTTAGGATAGAGCATTTAATAATTGTCAGCAATAAAAAAAATGTTTTTTTGGTCGGAAATTTGAAGAAAAATCCGACAGAGAAAGATTTAATAGTCATGAATTCTCACACGTGATACACATAATATTTTATAAGTTAAAACATTTTAACAAACCCATGCTTTATGATGTTCATGTGTTCAAGAAAATTTGGAGACATTCATTGGGAATAAATGGTTTATATTTATCAGCTAAATATAATGATGAATGATATATTTTATAATATATTTCAAAGAAATAGATAATATGATTGTCATAATATATATTTTTGTTGAAAGGTTTTATTTTCCAATTGAAAAATTCATGGGTACAATTTCTTAATTACTTACCAACCATATTTGTGCCTTTAGTTCCAATACATCACCATTATAGAGACTACATTTATATATGGCTTTTAAAGTAAATCGAAATAGATTTATAAACCTTTAAAAATAAAATATTGACTCTAAAGTATAAAATAACATTGGAGAATATGAAATTACATACCTGAAAATTTATGTTGTTAGAAAATGCTCCCGAACTTTAATCCTATGAAAAATAAGATTTTGGTTGCAATACTAAGATTTTTGTGGAGAAATATTTTATAACATTGTAACGTTTATCTTTTTTGTGTTATAATAATTTAAGATAGAATGTGTGTTCTATACGTTTCATTATCAAACATATGTTTGGCACATTATCTTTTATTAAGTGATGTAGGCTATAAATCAAGGAGTTGTCCCAACCGAAATTTCTGACTATTTATAAAGTATTTGTTACACACGTAATATTGGGAAAATGCCTCNTCGCAAAAAAAGGAAAAGTGATACTTTTTATGGATAAATGCACAGCACATAGTGATCTTCCTAATTTGAAAGCAGTAAGCTTGCAGTTTCTCCCGCCAAACACAACAAAAAAGTTGCAGCCGATGGACCAGGGTATCATAAAGTGCTTCAAACAGTCTTATCGTAAATGACTTGTCAGAAAAGTAATCTTAAATATTGTAAGCAATTAGAAGATTTGTAATTAATAAGCATTAATTAAATAACCCGACAATATTTTGAAAGTCCAAAACCGAAACTAACGATAAGTCGATCTTCCGATATGTCGAAGTTTTTCGTCAGTCCTATCAGATTCGAGTTATCGCGAATTCACTGTATATTTCAAAGAAATAGATAATATGATTGTCATAATATATATTTTTGTTGAAATGGTTTTTTTTCCAATTGAAAAATTCATGGGTACAATTTCTTAATTACTTTAAACCAACCATATTTGTGTCTTTAGTTCCAATACATCACCATTATAGAGACTACATTTATATATGGCTTTTAAAGTAAATCGAAATAGATTTATAAACCTTTAAAAATAAAATATTGACTCTAAAGTATAAAGTAACATTGGAGAATATGAAATTACATACCTGAAAATTTATGTTGTTGGAAAATGTTCCCGAACTTTAATCCTATAAAAAATAAGATTTTGGTTGCAATACTAAGATTTTTGTGAAGAAATATTTTATACCATTGTAACGTTTATCTTTTTAGTGTTATAATAATTTAATATAGAATGTGTGTTCTATACGTTTCATTATCAAACATATGTTCGGCACAATATCTTTTATTAAGTGATGTAGGCTATAAATCAAGGAGTTGTCCCAACCGAAATTTCTGACTATTTATAAAGTATTTGTTACACACGTAATATTGGGAAAATGCCTCAGATAGTTTGTTTGGACTTACGCACATTTTCGTGTCAATATCCAACTAAACAGTAGCTTTTACAAAACGAATATGTTGATTAAGTTACGTGATCTGGGTATCCAATTCTAAAACTTTTTGGATTCAAAACACAACCAGATTATGCCTCTACAATGCACAAAATAATGCTCAACGATAAAATTACCGTGTCCTTCTGTTTCATAATGCATTAACAATGAGATATTAACAGTTCCGCTGTTAAACCATTTTAATTTGCAACACTTTATTGCCGTGTGGTGTAAAGTTGTATTCTTGCATATATTTTGGAACACCCTAAACTAAAAACAATTATCACTATTTTTTTTTACAATGCAAAACATACAAACAAGCAGACATGCAAAGACTAAGTTTAACCATTAATTATTACATAGGTAACATATTAAGTGTATGAAGTTAAAGATGCTGTAGTATACTTATTATATCTTTTATTTTTTTTTTAAATTTTTAATCATATTCATAAAATTTCCTTAAAATCAGTTTATATAATGCAGCGATTGCTCAAACAATAAAAATTACTTTTAAGTAAAATTTGTGATAATATATTTAATATATTTTTGTGTTTTTGACACAACTTTAAAAAAAATGTTCAATTTATTTCGTTTCAAAAATTTGAAGGAACCACAGTAAAAACAAAACTTAAAGAAAACTAACAGAAGAAATTAATTTAGTGTAATTAAATTTCTGAGAGAACGTAAGCATATTAACAGAAAAAAAGAAATCAAGACAAACTACAAATCACTAGCATATAATGAAATGTTATTTTATGAGAGCAAACCTCAATGCTGGTTTAATTAAGATCTTGAATTTTAAAAAGAAATACGTAATTGCATTTCGGAAACATTTACACTCGCTTGAAAAATAATAGCTATCTATTTCTTCTTAACATGTAAGCATCTGAAGTTATTGATTTAAAAATTATGAAATCTTTTGAATGATTTTTGATTTTTCCAAGCAAGTTTCAATTTGCCTATTTATTCTTTAAATATTCATTCAGTCAATTTAAAGAATTTAAACTAGCAAATTTAAGCTATCTTTTCAGTTTTATATAATGTATATATTAAATAATTCTGTTTTTGAGCATAAGGAAAGTAATGATTGACGTTGTAATTTAAAATCTGTTTTAGAGTAATAGGCAGTTATTGAGAACAACTAATGAGTGTACTTAAAATTTATCATTTATTAAATGGTTAATGTAATTTTATGCTAGTGTAATGGCTATGTAGTTTTAAACTATGAATTAAAAGTATGAAATTTTAAATATGTTTTTAACAACTTTACTTAATTTTTTTATAACTCTACCAATGTTCATTTTTTACTCTAATACTTAGTAATTTTCAAATTATTTAAACTTATTAAGTGCACCACGAATTATTAAGTTTTCATTTGAATTATTAAGTTTACCTCATATATTCACATACATAGTATCTTTCGATTTATTATGTTCACCAAATCACTGAAATTGAACATTTTCTTTTTGAATAATACAGCTAGACTAATTAGCTATATTAGCTAGACTAGCTTCTAGCTATAGTCATATTAGCTATACTGTAAATGAAGTTTCTTAAAATTGATTGAAAATGAGTCAAAATAGCTACGAAGCAAATGTTGTGGAATTTTAAAATCCTAAGATCTGATTATCGAGTATAGTGACATGCTCAACATGGAATAGTCTCAAATATCATAAATAACAAATTATCCATAAATGGAACGAAGTTCAAAATTTAATTTGTAACGATCAAATATTCGAAAATAAATCTAATTAATCTAATATTTATTTCAAATTTGTTTCATTAAAAAAGAATTTCTTCAGATTGGTAATCATCAGTTTCCTAACAGCCATGTTTTTTTTCCCACAAATAAAGACGAATTCACAGAGCTGTTTCAATTTTAAATTTTGAGTATGCCATTATACTCAATAATGCACACATTAAATTTTCAAATTTGAATACATTTGTTTCGGAGGTATTTTACACTTCTGATAATTTTTTTTCTTGTGTAGACTACCTACAATAGCTAGAAATTCATCCAATTTTTTCTGAAAAAAATATATTAATAAAATACTGACATCAGATTGTTCTTGAAGAGTAGTTTTAAATTCTAAGTTTGTTAGTTTTTAGCTATTTTTCTCTTTTTCAATTTTAATTAATAATTTTGTTTTTTTCACAAATTTCGTTAATAAAAATTTTCAATCACATCCAAATCAGTTTTATGAAGTTTAAAAAAATAAATGATGAAAATTGAATCAAAGACTGACACAAACAAATTTGCCTTAGACAAGAATTAGCTAGATATTATACTCTTGTCTAAATGCCGTTTCTTGCGATTTGCTTTAAATTTGAATTACCTATCAAAAGTTACTAACAGCATAAATATATTCCTCTACATTTTTGAAAAAATATATTCACCGAATATATAAAAAATTATTCAACATTATTTTTGCTTTTATAACAAAGACGCGTACATTTTCAACATTTATGAATAAGGCCCTGGTATGATACATTTTTAACGAAAAGTTCTTGCAAAAAATAAGTATATTTTTTATTCAATCATCAAAACAAGTTTAAATTTCTTTTAAATACAAACATTTAAAACAAAAGCTGCACTGAAATGTACCATTTTTGTTATTTTAAAATTTAAGAAAACGTAACACAAATTTCACTTGAAATTTGTGCCAGCAGGAGCTGGAGTTTCCTGCAACCTTTTTTCATTTTACACCCCGATTGGTTCGTCTAGAACAGCTTTCGATGCAGAAGTATCGGCAATAAGCGTAGCTCTGTCACAACTACAGAATCACCTTGAGAAATTTAATAACGTAGTCATCCTCTCTGACTCCAAAGCCGCACTCCAAGCTATTGCTTCCTCCAAAGCCCCCGCATCTGCCGACATTCTACATTGTCGTCAAGCCCTTCACAGGCTTGACCAACACAACAAAAATGTCGCCATGCAATGGGTACCAGCGCACTGTGGACTTCAAGGTAACGAAACTGCAGATTTCTTGGCCAAAAAAGCCGCCAAGATTCTACAAATATCTCTTAAGCCAGTTCCTTTCCACACCGCGAAAAGGCTAATAAAAATCTCTCTGCGAACAACATTTGAAGCAAAACTCCAAGAAGCAAATAAAAATAAGGACTGGTTGGAAGGAATTAAAGATATTCCGTCATGGCCAAGAGAAAAATCTGTGGCCCTTTTTCGCCTCGCCACTGGCCATGACTGTTTATCAAAACACCTGTATAAAATTAAAATCTTTTCAAGCCCCCTTTGTCCATTATGTAACCAACAAGAAGAAATGGACGCTAACCATCTAAGACATTGCCCTGCACTTCCTCCCGGGCCCTTGTGGGAACGATATTGGCGGGCGAGATGCATTATTTCAGACCTATAGATGGCTACAAATTTGTCTTTCATGTCTGCCATTGGAAATAAAAAAAGAAAAAAATTCACTTGAAATAATTAAAAAAATATATACTTTGTTCACAAACTTGAAGTTGATACTATTGTAGGGTCAAATTAAATGGTAAGTAAGATCTGAAACGGTGTCTAAGATTGCTTGAAATTTTACTGTGACAAACTGCGAAAATGATAGGTCAAAACCAATTCTAGGCTTAGGTCAAGAGTTAGTAACACCGAGGAGAAAATTCTGGCAAAAGAACCGAAGTAGATTGTAATGTTTCATATACCATTAAAAATACCAATTCGGTGACGGCATTCCATGCGCTGCAAAAAAAACCTAAGTCAGGTTATAACAAATTCCTTGATTATATTTAACCTAACATACAGGATAAGCTAATACATAGGAAACGGAAGACAAATAATTCATAAGCGGTAAAATTAGATTTTGATTGATTAAAGCTGCTAACTAGCAAACCACTCATATAAGACCGATGTTAAACAACCGACCCGATTCTGAACATATAAACACCAAATTTGGGGCAAATCGGTTTATAATTGTGAATTTGTAAGAGATACATACATATAATAAATGAGTAAATAGTTTGTTTTATTTGTATATATTCTTCTTTTAAATGTACTCATATTTAAACAAAATCATCCCGATTTTAAGTTCCTAAATTAGAATTCTGCTGCGCAATTTTGAAACCTTCTTCTTAATAAGTGGTTTCACAATTATTTTCTCACTATTGCAAATGTTATAATTATAATTTCAAAGGTTAATAAAACAATGTTCATATTTTTGAGAAAAATATTTTTTTCAATAAGTAGCATAATATGCAAAAATGCCAAATATATATAAATTTCAATTTTAAAGTTTTTGTCTCTTAAGTTTATGCGTCTATTGCACAGCAGAATTCAGGTTGCCATTTGATATATGATGGATTACGTTTCTTTTTTGAGAAATTCTGTGGGGATCAATATATCCTATTTATAGGATACGGAGGGTAGCATATGCTTAAAATATCTGGCATTTCTGTATTGTACTTTTGATAATATTATCTATTGTTAATAGGAATATAATAATAATAATAACAGAGCCGTGGGGACCCAGGAGATAGAACGCTTGCCTCCCAATATGGTAAACTAGGTTCGTATCCCAGCGATGGCTAGTTGATATGATCATGCCTTAGAGCACCTTGCTGTCAAGCTGACCATCGGATGCTTTCACGTTTTCCGCCTCCATGTAACGCAAAGGAGGATTAAATCCATCAAAAAGTCTTCTACAAAGGCTAGTTTCTCCCATTTGCTTGATTCAGTAGTTCCCTTGTCTTCTGAAATGGGTTCAAAATTTCAAGGCTACTGAGTTGAAAATTCATAGTTGTAAACTCAGAATTGGATCGGCTATTCAACGCCGAGTTCATTATTTTTTTTTCAATTTAAAAAGTTCCAATAATATATTTACAATAAATGAAGTAAAATATTAATTTGGGTATGGTAGCTGTGGTCACAACTCGACATCAATTTGATTCGTCTAACACGTCCGAACGCGGCACGCTTTTAATCTTTATAAAATCCCTTAACAAAAATTCTAATGTATGAGTTTATGTTTGTGGTAGATTGCGAGTGCTGCCCTCTGTTTATTACTTTTGATACAAAAGGTGTTTTTTTTTGCCACATTAATAACTCCGGTGAATCGCGAGGAAAAATATCTAAATTACTGCTCAATCTGTAAAAATTTATAAAATTTTTCTATGAAGCAAAACCAATTATGCTCATTCTGACCCAGTTTATCATTGGTGGCTTACAAAACTTTTAAAAATTTTGAATTTACCTGCTAATTATTTGATCCGTTACTAAACCATGAATGGATTTTTGAAACATTGCATGCAATGGGATTATACTTTCTTTAATTTGAGTTATATTGTACTAAAGCGATATAAACTAAGCTTTTAAAATTTCGAGGATATTTCCTTTCAATTGTTTACAAAATAAACATTTAAAAAACGACCATTTATAGCTTAAAAAGCATCATCAATCTTCATTAAAGGAGATATTGAAAAACATGCTAAATCTCCCGAGCTTTAATTAGCTGAAACAATGTCATTTTAACAGACTGTCACAGATGCTTTTATAAAATTCCCTAGACACTGTTGTAATTTTTACGTATAAAAACGAAAAGTATATTACTTATTCTCAAAAAAACAGCCAAAAGAGAAAAACAATACATTGTTCTGAGTTTTAAAAAAAATTACTTATTTTTTGAAAAAAAATCGACTTTTTTGCAAGATTATTAAAAGTAAACACTCTCCGCCGAAAACGAGTTTGTTCAGCACACGATAGAGAAGATGTTTTCAGATCATCAATATTTATCTTCTTTCGTTTTAGCTAAAATGAAGAACATTTTTTTTTTGAAAAAATGCTGGTAGTGTAACATTTCAAATATTTAGATTTTTTGTAAAATTTTATTTTGCTTTGTTTCAATAAAGTACAACTTTATATTAAGAAAATTACCTTATTATAAAAATTTGGGCAAATATTCCAGTCACTGGTTTTATGATTTTTAACTTTTAACTGCGAACTTTTTTTATTAATTATTTATTTAGCTTACTTTAAATCAACATAAAAAGTTTTTTTGAAAAAACTTTTGTATTAAGCATTAGGAGAAATTTAGAATGAGACTATAAATCATTTTCATTGCATTTTGATTATAAGCTGAGGTACCTCACACAGTCGGTCCGATGTCAAAGGATATATAGGAATCAAACTTTAACGATGTTTTATTTATAACACTGGCGTTGGTAACACTCAGCACTAGTAAACCATTCGTTGCGGTATATGGACCCTGGACCAATGAGTTTACTGACTGTATTCCGGCACATCGTTTCTGCTTTACTCTTTGACTTTTTTTTTATTGACTTTAAAGGAATACTATGAATTAAAAGTCAAATTTATCTCAAATCAGATTGATGGTTTTTTACAAAGAATAACGTGCATCCGGGATTCAAAATCTTTCGAAAACTTCTAATAACTAGCTTTCCAGAAACTACGGCACAAATAAAAAAATTTTCCTCCTTACTTTTTTTATTTTTCGCATTATTCTTCGTATATATATTTTTCATGTTTTGGAAAAAGAAACAAAAATATACCGTTAAAATATTATAAAATAATTGGACTATGTAAGAAAAATGAAAAAGTTTTTGAAAGTTTAATGAGTTGGTTCTCAGAAAACATAACAGGCAAAATAGAAAATTGATCCATCTTAAATAAAAATAAAATAAAAATTCCTTTTGATCATAATTTATTATGAAATATTTTACTGACAATATGCACAAAATAATATTAAAACTTTCAACAAAATGATTATAGTTTCACTAAACTAATTCAATATTTTTTTAGCTTTCTAAACGAAATAAAAGTAAATATGTTTCAGTTTAAAACATAACTTTATTAACACCCATAACAGTTGAATGAACTTGTTAAATGAATAACACTTAAGCAACTTTTTTAAATTAAAATATTCGCAGTTATTAGTCGGGTGAGCAACCAGATCTTTTCGCAATAATATAACCGCACACATTCCAGTTTATAACACAAATTTACAGATTAATAGCACAGTATTATATAAAACATATTATTGATACATGTAAAATCTGTTGATTTTAACCATAAAAGACCCTTCAATGCACTTTGTCCTTAACTATTTATTGTTACATGAAAATCATGTTGGTTTTCTTCATAATACACAATATTCACTAAATACACAATGTTCCGAACAGTTTGACAAAGTGACTTATCGTAAGTATTGGCCCAATATATAAAATTATTTTTATTGTATGTATAAGATTGTTTTTCTGTTAATGTATCATAATACGAGATTTTAATTATTTTGCATTGCTTTATGTATCTTTTAATACTGGACGACACGAATGTAAAACAATAATTTATCTTACCGTATAAAAACTCTGATAGATTATCATGAACTATTTATCTGTGCTGTGCAGATAGATCAATGACACAGAAAAAATATCTAACTGCTGCCACCTTCAACAAGAAATTCTATTCATAATATTCTATTGAATATGAGTGCATATGAGTATGTCTCGTTTGAAAAGACATATCTTTCTAAAATGAGAAATTTCTATGGAGGAAAGAATCTAGTTTTAAAATCTGCATAATAAAGTAAACAAAATGAATAGAGAAAGACTATCTACTTACGCTTAAAAAATTTTATGAAAAGGTTGTATGGTATTTTTGATCCTGTTTCATTATATTTTAAAAGTTTTTTCAAAGCACGGCTGCAAAAAATATCACCTTTCAATTACGTTTCTTCAAGTTTCTTTGATAAATTCACGCTTAAAACGGAAATAAATGTGATAGAAAATTTTTCAAATGATTTCAACCAAAAAATTTATGTCATAATCAGTGTGTAAAAACTTACAATGAAAAAATATTTATTAGGGATATCTTAAGGTGAGAAAATGGGCATATATTTTATTTCTGAATTTAAAATTTACGACATTTAATTTAAAAACAAAAAAGCACATATGTTTTAATATATTGCTCAATCTAATATAAAAAGTTTTTGAAATTTTAATTTTATTTACTTTGACTTTGATATGTTGATATGTTAGTTACGATAACCTATTTATTAAAGTTAAAATTTAATTTTAAAGTAAGGAAAGGTGTTAAAAAAATCATAAGAAATTATTTGGGGACAATCAAGAAAAAGTTAAATTTAAATAAAAACCATAACCATGGCCATAAACGTAACTATTAATTAGAAAATGCCTTCATATTTTACGTTGATTTATAAACTACTTGTTACATTTTTATTAATTACAGCATTTATTTAATAGCTATTGATATTATTCAAAAAATGTTTAAAAAGAGATTTTTTTTTCATGCATATTTTTAGTATAGTACACGGGGAAATGTTCTGATAAAGTTGCCGTGATTTATAGTAATGAAATTTCTTGTTAAAAAAAATTTAGT